ACAGGCTTGACAGCATAACAGTAGCAGAACTCTTTTTGGTGCTACATAGAGCTCCTTTTCAAAAAGGTTCTATATAGAACCCTCTACAGCACATTCTCCATCACTCTGAAGAACCCGTAATGCTATTTCACCCAAGGTGGTTCTATAGAGAAGCTTTTTGAAAATAGTTCTATATAGCACCAAAAGGGTTCTGCTGTTGCATACAAGCCTAAAATTATGACAACAGCAGAACTCTTTTGGGTGCTATATAGAACTATTTTCAAACAGCTTCTATATAGAACCATATACAGCACATTCTCCATCAATCTGAAGAACGACTTCATAATGCAAAGAACCTTTAAGGATGCAAATGGTTCTTTGAGTGTTCATGGCTCTTATTTTACATATTATGCAACGCTGTGAACTGCAGTGCTACAGTGGAAGAATGATAACTGCATAGTTTTAATGGGGAGTTAACAAAGAAGTACTGTTTTACTGTTTTAGTCGATTGTTAATAACTTACTTATGTAACTTTTCTAATGACCTTATCTGCTTTAATATGTAAAGTACAGTAATGTGCAAATGTCAGAAACCTCCTTATATTTATTTAATGTCCTTTCAAAACTGTCTTTAAGCAGATTCTGTTTATTTTCCACCAAATAATTCTGAAGAAATTCGATATAAAATAATCCACTTGCATAAGGAAGGAGAAAGTCAAATTTAAGTGAAAGTAAGTGAAAAACAGGAGTTTCCAAAACTGTAGTTCAAAAACTGGTTAAAAGCTACAGAGAAAATGTGTCTCCTAACAACCACCTGGAGGAGCTGGTCGACACCAAAACTGCCCCCATCAGATAAACAGAACTTAAAGCTTTCATCTCTGAGAGAGAGGAGAAAATCAAGCTGCTTCAGATCTGAAAACATCCACAGGTGTTTCTGTCCATCCTTCCACTGTGAGAAGACAACTCAGCGCTGTGGGTCTGAAAGGATGTGTAGCTGATCAAGAAGAACCTCACTGAGAAAAGGAGACGGACACATCAAACAAAAGCTGAACGATGGACTGACCACCCCAGAGTCCAGACCTCAACACCACTGAATGTGTTTGATTACTTCAGAAAATGATCAACCAGCTTCTAAGACTGAACTTTGGAGGTGTGTCTGCAGATTCTTTGAGGAACTGAAAGTGAGTCTCCTGTAAGGAATGGAAGCTGGAATAAAGGTGTTTGTGTTTTCTTCTTTTTTTAATGCTTATTTGTACTTAATGGTCGTTTTTACTGGAAACTGTATTTTATTTAAGAATTTAATGAGGACACAGTGTTATTAATGCAATGCAGTTCAAAGTTTTACCACACACTTCTATAACCTAAGAACAGCGGAGCTGCACGCTTGAACCAAAGAACCAAAAAGATGCTTCTTTAAGGGTTCTTTATTAAAGAAAATCGTTCCATATAGAACCATGAACACTCAAACAACCCTTTGCATAACTAAGTGATTCTTTAAATTGTAAAAGCTCAATTTGATTTCAGATTAATGGAGAACCTTTTTGAAAAGAGTTCTACATAGCACCAAAAGGGTTCTTCTATCGTCACAAGTTTGACATCGTAACAATAGTAGAACCCTTTTGGGTGCTACATAAAATCCTCATCAAAAGGTTCCAAAGAGAACCACATACAACACATTCTCCATCAATCTGAAGAACTATTTAACAATGCAAAGAACCCTTTAATCACGCAAAGGGTTCTTTAAGTGTTCATGGTTCTATATAGAACCATTTTCTTTACTAAAGAACCCTTGAAGAACCATCATTTTTAAGAGTGTAGTGTACTACATAATAAGCCATGGATTTTAAGGGGTTAAGCGCTTTTTACTAAGGGTGTTATCACAAAGCAGCTTTAACAGAAATCAGGCGTGAGTGAGTTACAGGACAGCTTCACATCTCCAGCCAGTTTGGCTCATTAAAGGACAAATAATGTTAATTATATTACAACTTTAACTAACAGAAGACACTGGAAATGTGGACATTCAGCTTAAAGGGGAACTCCACCGATTTTTCAAAATGTCTGCATAATTCAGTGATTGAGATGTAAACCAAGTCATTCAGAGTGGTTACATGTGAAATTGTTCATTTGTAGAGAAACTTACTAACTCATATTTCTTTACAGTGGTGGTGATAAGAACCAGGGGTCACCATGACTACAACACAAATATAGACATTTTATTTACCATTACTGTTTTTTATATGTAATGCTGGTGATAGTAGAATAGTAGTAAATCTTTCTTTAGGGCTATTTTGCCTTAGAACACCCTTCATGTATCCCTCCACCCTGAATTGATTAAAATCAATTTATTAAAATATGTTTTAGCACAAAACTTTTACTACTGTAAAACAGTGTCTCAGTCATCAGGCAGTGAATTCATAAACATTTCATGTAGTAACTTTCTGTGAGGGAGCTTTTAGAGGTGGACGTCTGGTTCCTATCACCACCACTCTGAACAGTTCTGACTCAGTAAGTTTCTCTAGAACTTAAAAATAGGCCAAAACATCCATCGGCTAGTTTGACTGTACAGCAATCAGAATTCATGATCAGATACACATACAGTAGAACATAGTCTAAGAAGATCACTATTATTCACTATACAACAGGAGTTCGGACTGATGACCACACGTCTGCTGTGTGGTTTATGAGCAGTGCTTTTAAAATCTTATATTTTTAAGATTTGCGACAATAATAAAAGCTAAATTAAAGCAAATCACAAGAATTTATACTGAACTCCAACCACAGAGGAACGTTTTATTGCCCACAGTTGAACTTTGACAGCCTGGGAGAAGTAATGATGATTCTCACTATGTTTCATTTTTCTATTACAGATTTGTCCTTCGCTCAGACTCTTTAAGGGTTCTTTAGTAAAGAAAATGGTTCTATATGGAACCATGAACACTCCAGAAACCATTTGCATGATTAACGCACTCTTCAGATTGATGGAGAATATGTTGTAAATGGTTCTGCATGGAAGCTTTTTGAAAAGGGTTCTATATAGCACCAAACAGCGTTCTGCTATTGTATGTAAGCCTGATGTTGCAACAATAGAAGAACGCTATTTGGTGCTTTATGGAACCATTTACAAAAAGCTTCTATATAGAACCATATACAGCATATTCTCCATCAATCCAAAGAATGATTTCTTGATGCAAAGAACACTTTAATCATGCAAAGGGTTCATTGGGTGTTCATGGTTCCATTAAGAACTAGTGTCTTTACTAAAGAACCCTTGAAGAACGACCTTTTTAAAGAGTGTAATGTTCCTTGGGAGAAACAGCATTAAGCATTCTTCAGATTGATGGAGAATGTGCTGCTAAGGGTTCTATATAGAACCTTTTTGAAAAGTGTTCTATATAGCACCAAAAAGGGTTCTTTGATTGTTACAATGTCAGGCTTGTTACAACAGAAGAATCCTTTTTGGTGCTAACCCTTTTCACAAAGGTTCTATATAGAACCATCTACATTCTCCATCAATCTGAAGAACCCTTTTCATGACGCAAAGAACCGTTTAATCATGCAGAGGCTTATTTGAATGTTCATGGATCTGCATAGAATCATTTTCTTTACTAAAGAACCCTTGAAGAACCAAATTTTTTAAGAGTGTAATGTTCCTCGGGAGAAACAGCATTTAGTGTTTTTCAGATTGATGGAGAATGTGCTGCTAAGGGTTCTATATAGAACCTTTTTGAAAACTGTTCTATATAGCACCAGAAAGGGTTCTTCAATTGTTACAATGTCAGGCTTGTTACAATAGAAAAATCGTTTTTGGTGCTAACCCTTTTCACAAAGAAGGTTCTACATAGCAGGAAAAGAGGGTTCTTGTACTGTATAGAAGCTTGACATTGTAACTATAGCAGAACTCTTTTTGGTGCTATATAGAACACTTTTCAAAAAGCTTCTGTATAGAACCATATACAGCACATTCTCCATCAATCCGAAGAACGATTTCTTAATGCAAAGAACCCTTTTAAGCATGCAAATGGTTCTTTGAGTGTTCATGGTTCCATAAAGAACTAGTGTCTTGAAGAACCATCTTTTTTAAGAGTGCAATATTCCTTGGGAGTAATAGCATTAAGCGTTCTTCAGATTGATGGAGAATGTGCTGTAGACGGTTCTATGCAGAACCTTTTTGAAAAATGTTCTATATAGCACCAAAAAGGGTTCTTCTATTGTTACAATGTCAGCCTTGTTATAATAGAAGAACGCTTTTTGGTGCTAACCCTTTTCAAAAAGGTTCTATATTTAACGATCTGCACATTCCCCATCAATCTGAAGAACGCTTTTTATGATGCAAAGAACCCTTTAATCATGCAGAGGCTTCTTTGAGTGTTCATGGTTCTGCATAGAACCATTTTCTTTACTAAAGAGCCCTTGAAGAACCATTTCTTAAGTGTGTAAAGGTTGTCTTGTCAAGGTTGTCTTTTCTTCCCTGCCAGAAATAACAACATATCCCTGCTGTAAAAAATGACAGAAACCATTAAAAGGTTCTGTTGGTTCCTGCTGGTGTCCAGTGGTCAGTAATGGCATTCTGTGTTTTCCTGGTGGGTTGATATCGCCGTATAAGGACTCTAACAGGTGTTTTGGGACTGATACCAGATGCATTTAATGGGATCTAAAGGTGTTCTACAGGAAACTAGGGATCTCGAGTGTTAACCATTCCAAGCCGAGTCCCTTTAGAAAGCAAAGCCCTCAGGTTTTATTCCTAATGGTTCGTCTGCTCCTTTTTCAGCAATGATAAAAAGTAAACATTCCAAAATCTCACTGAAACATCACATGTAATTGGAAATGGCCCACGTCCAGTTGACGAGCAGCACAGAAGTGGAGGAAACTCGGGCGAGCAGAGTGAGGAAATACTTTAGTGAAGAGCAGAGACAGAGCGTGTGCTAATAGACCTCCCTCAGCTTCCCCCCCCTCCTCTCCTCCCCCATGCGCTCCCTCGCTCCCAGATAAGAGGGCAGAACTCCCTCTTTCTGGTCATTTCAGACACTGCTTTAGGATAGGAAGGAAGGTCCTTCATGCATCTGTCTTGTTTTTCTGCTTGAGAGACTCGCTCTCTCTCTCTCTCTCTCTCTCTCTCCTTCTCCAGCTCCAGTGCTTCAGCCCGGCTCCTCACGTAGCACGGGGGGCCGAAGAGAGTTTAAAGGAAACAAGACCCTACTTAGGAAAATAACCTCCTCCACTGCTGGGAGAGAACCACAAACACCAAAGGAAGGAGAAGGACGAGGAACAGCAGGCAGGGAGCATCTCCTCTTGCATCTGTGAAGCCATGTGTCCCGTCTTTCTGGCCGAGTGAGCGGTTGAGGGCAAGTTGGCATCAGTCCTTCAGCTGCAGGTGGCCTTTTTCAGTCTGTTTGCACTCGTAACCATGAGGCTGAGCAGTCTCCAATGGGGGCTGGCGCTGCTGCTGGCAGTGGTTGGTCCGGTGACTTCTGGAAGCGGGAACAGCCAGAAGCGAGGGCCAGGAGAGAGGCGGAAGAAGTTCCACCGTGTGCAGCACGGACAGTGCAGCTATACCTTCATCCTGCCTGAGATGGACAGCTGCAAGGGTGGATCGGCTCATTACGGAGGCAGCAAAGTAGTCCAAAGAGATGCGCCGCCAGGAGAGGGTGAGTGGTCAGTTCAGAGGCTTCAACATCTGGAGACGGCCATGGAGAACAACACCCAGTGGCTTCAGAAGGTAAGAACAAGTCAAGTATAGATAGTACCACTTCTGTCAGTGCTTTTTCAAAGACTGCCATGGCTTTTATACACTCTAAGCCAGAGTTTGGGTTCTTGTGACATTGTATGTTTTCCATTTCATTCGGTTGGTTTCACATTGAAGCGGCTAAATTACACACGTGGGTGTTCAGTGATTGGCCAGACATTTGGCTGGAATATAAGCGCTCTGTTACTCTCACATTAGAACCAAAAACCTACCATTTTAAAGAGGAATATCACTTTTTTTCTAATTAACTCAGAACTTTTCATGTGAAATGCTTTATTCTAAAGAAACATGTTCATAGTGGTGGTGATAGGAACCAGATGTCCACTCTACAAGCTCTGTCACAGAAAGTTATTACATGAAATCATTATGAATTCACTGCCTGATGGCTGAGACACTGTTTTATGACAGTATTGAGAAGGCATTTTTTTAAATTATGAGGGTGGAGGGATACATGCAGGGTGTTGTGAAGCAAAATAGCCCCCAAAGAAAACTTATTATTTCAGATTTCCCACTATTTTACCATCATCAACATTCCACATTAACTCAGAAGACTCGTGTAGGTTCACTGGTGGTTCTGGATAGTAAATAAAATGTCTATATTTGGGTTGTAGTCATGGTGACCCCTGGTTCCTATCACCACCACTATGCAATGCACAATTTCTCATCATACTAACCTGAATAGTTTGAACTATGTAGATGAATCCATCACATATATTTATGACATACATGTATTAAGGCTACTTTGTATTAAAATAGACACCTATATATGTCAATCATTATCAAAGACATAAAAATAAACTGTCTTTATAATTAAATGGTTTGTCAATTTGAATGTAATCAATCAAGTCACTGACACTTGAATGTGTTGCATGATCTATGTACCAAAATCGAATTCATTGCTTTGCTATTATTTTATTGCTTATCTGGCATTATTTACAGCAGCTCGTGCTGCAGGAACCACATGAAGAGCAGCATGTCAGTACAGTACACATTTTTCATTCATCAGGGTACAAACAATGTAAATGTTCCCTCAAAGCTCCAACAGTGGTTTTAAGGTCTGATTGTGAACCTTAAATAAGTTTTCTCCAGGTGAAAAGTTCGTATTTGTACCTTTTCATAACCGAATGTTTTAAAACAGAACAGTAAAATAAAAGCCTGGAGACGAGACGGGGTGTGTGGAGTCAGTACAGCTTAGAACATATCATTTCAGTGGATTATGGTTCAGTTATGTTCCCTGACTAAAGGTACTGAGATGCACCCTTGAGGGTTCCACCTCAGTGACGAGAGAGGCACTGACCCTGAGACAGTTAACACCTTTTTTTCTAAGAGTGAACTACACAGTACTGACATGTTACTAGAAAAGTAAAGCCCATGGTTTAATTGTTTAGTGCACACCCGAATATGGCAGCGTTCACACCTGTCAAAACAAACTGAATTAAAGAAAAAGTTCAATTCACCGAAACAGGGTAGGTGTGAAATCAATGCTTTTAGTTTCTTAATAATCTTTTAATGCATGTTTCTTTCAAATAGCACTTTTGCAAATTAGACATATGAGTGTGAAGAATCTGTTCCAAAGTTTAAGGAAACCTGCATATCAGAGTTTTTCTTACAACCAAAACTCCATAATCAGAACCATTTCCAAAACCTTTATATCTGTATTTGAGAGTTTACACTTTTATACAGAGCCCTGCTGGTGACATCCCGTATAAATAAAAAGAATGCGTGGCCACACCTTATTAAAACATGGGAATGAGATCCTAATACATGGCCAGAGCAGTAAGGTGTGAGAATGATATAATTAAGCCGTGGCCTCAAGTTAGTAAGACATAGGAACGAGATCATGCCTTATTAAGCTGTGGTCAAGGCTTTATCATCTCAAGCCAACGCCTTACTAAGTCGTGGCCACGCCTTAGGATCTCATTCCCACACCTTACTAAGTCATGGCCACGACTTATCTCGTTCCCACACTATACTAAGTCATGGCCACACATTATTATTATTATTAACATGGGATGTCATCAGCAGGGCTCAGTACTTCTAGGCAGAATTAAAGTTTCTTTGACTTGTAACAGTCACAACTTTTTGGTACTATAATGAACCAATTGTTTAAAGGTTCTTTTAAACCACAAACAACAAAGTTTTACATTATAGAAAAGAACCATTTAACCATGCAATGAACCAATTATGCATTCAGATGGTTCTTTGAGTTGGTATGGTCATATTGTAAGTACTAAAAAGCTGTTGAAGAGCCACTTGTTAAGGCTGAAGTTTAAGGTGTTGAAGGATGTGTTCATTTTGAGAAAAAAAACAAAGTGTTCTCATCATTTTCTCTGCAGAATTATTCTATTTTGGAAAGTCAGTGCCAGAATTTGAAGCAGGAATCATGGCTCAAATAATATAAATGGAAATAGGCTGCAAAAGTGACAGTGTTGGCAAGCGTGAGCAGACGGAACAAGTGCAGGGTAAATCAATAAGACAAGATGAATGAGCTGAGTGTTGTGTGAAGGACATCCAAAAACACCTCTTTGTTTAAAGTCCACTCGTCACTGTTCAAAGGACTAAAGAATCTTTGATACCTTTTGGACTTATTCAGTTTGCACTTCTGGCAAAACAGGCAATAAGCGTAGCTGCACACATCAAAGGAGCTTTGGAGACACTGAGAGACGAGGAGACTTTGCTGAATCAGATTGCTCAGTCTTCTTGGCTATGATCTGAGGGCTCTATGGTCATTTAGATGGCATAGAAATCACTCTAAGGAGCATTTGGTCTATTCAGCTGACAATAAGGTGATTTATAACTGCAGCCTCCATTCAAACGTGATGAATTAAAGCCTTCAGTGTTACTTGAAGGGATTGATATGCTAAGAGATTTTGATTGAGGTGATGAACAGATGAATAGGTGTTGTTAAGCATGTGTTGATATGTGCCCTGCATACCACCCAAGGCAGCATATCAATGCAAGTCAAGAAGGAAAGCTAAAAAGAGGAAAATCAAGTTTGTCTCTGGTGAGCGTGTTCGAGGCATCTCATGTACACTGTGTAGGTTCTGACAAGAAAATGTGACAGATATGTTATAAATGTATTGCTTTGTTTAAATTGTGAACTGAGGTACAAGTTTCTCTTCCATTCTTTTGCACAATGCTTTTGGGAATAGGAACAAATGCTGGTAGGAACAAAAAGTTCAGAAACTGGATGTTGGTGACCTCTACGATTGGTGTGATCCAATCATTTTGACTGACATTTCCGTGTCTTATGTAATATACATAAAACTCAGAAAATCTCAGCTTGACTTGTCGCTCATCACCCTTCTGCCTTGCTGTTAAATCCCAACTACAAATTGTCAACTTCCATAGGAAATAGCTGGTCTCTTGTTGCTCTGTGAACATGGGGTAAGAGAAGCAGAAACATCCTATAATCAGTGATGCTGACATATAGTTTCATTCACACATGCTCTACATTGTAGCTGTGATGGTGTTTAGCCAGTGTTGGGGATAATGTGGTACTAAGTAACACGTTACAGTAGTGTGATTACTTTTTAAAGTAGTATAATGCATTACAGTTCATCTTCTTGTAGATACATTACAACTCCTGACTTTATAATAATTATGTAACTTATGTTACTTAAATATCTCTAACAGAGCAGTATTATCCCTCTGTGGTCTGAGGGCATTTTCTCAATTTGTGCATATCTTTTTAAGCTCTCCTTTAAAGGCTCTTCATCTTACATGATCCTCATATGTTTCATATCTAAATGCCCCGTTATCTTCATCACTACTTTCCAAAACCGCTGCAGCAGCTTCAGCAGCTGTAAACTCTCTGCACGCCGTTTCACATGAGTCTCCGATGTGGACTGAATGAAGAATGAAGGGTTTCCGGCGTGATGGTCAGTGCTTAGTGATTTCCTGAGTGTCCATTGGTCAGTTTCACACAGAATGTAGACGGACACACAAATCCACCAGCTCCATACGGTGAGAGGCAGATGACGTGTATCTCAGCCCCTCTTCATAGGCTCATAACTCCGGATGTGAGTCTCGTATGATCTCGTGATAAGATGGAATGGAAAGGGCGACTCTACAGATTCAGGAAGTGTTTGAACTGGATTTCTGTGCTGAATCATCAAAAAGTGAGTTTAAATAGTAAATTTCCTCTATGTAGATTATCTGTGCTTGTCCTAGTATGAAGTTCGTGTGAATGAATGAGTAAAGATCCTTGTGGTGAAGAAGAGAGACCCAACCTTACTCAAACAGACCGAACTCTATTTTCAGTCAGGAACAGATCTGTAAGATTTTATATTTTATTCTTAAAGGTTTTATTTTGAGGCATATGTTTTTGGACCTGTTCTACTGGCTAATTTTTCAGTTTTCAAGCAACATTAATCATTCATTGTTTTAATGAAGCATAGCTGGCTGTGGCTTGTTCAGATGCAGGGAGAGTGACAGAAGGATGTTTACTGTGATAGTTTCTTTCTAAATAAAGTACTGAAAGGACTGTCGGATTTCCAGTTGGTACAGATGTGTTTTGGAGAGTAGTGAGATTCAGAAGTAAAGATTAGTGAAAGTACTTTTTTACAGAAAGTAATAAGTAAACCCATACCCCAGCTTAAGAGAAGTCATTTGTAATGGATACATTTTTGAGTAACTTCATTTTTCGCACACTGCCCAAAAGCGTTGGTAAAGTCAGCAATGGTTGAATTCTGTGTGCAAATAAGGACAATGGAGCTCACAGTGAATTCAAACGCTTGCCATCGGTGAAATTACTAAAAGTGTGCATGCAAAGATGCACTGGATGTTCTTGATTTGCTCCGTTTAGAAGTTTTTGGTTTAGATCATTCTCAGGTCCTTTGTAGACTAGCCCTCAAAGTGCTGACTCACATGTTAGGTTCTTTGGGCAAGAACTTGAGCACATCTGCAAGCAGCCACAGAATCGAGCTATCAGACTTCAGGGGGTATTTAGGTGACGCCATGGAAGAAGCTTT